CACGACTTACTATCTGGTGGCCACGACATAGTATCTCGTGGTCACGACACAGCTATCTCGTTGGCACGATTTAGTAACTCGTGGCCACGACATAGTGTCTCGTGGCCACGACATTCTTTGTAAAAACAGAACCCAGCGACCTAGTTATTTGCCTTGTTAGTTATTCTGGTACCTTATAATGAAAATCGCTATCATAACAAAATGTAACACCACTTATATATGGCTACTTTGGTTCTATACATTAATAAAGTGGTTTCATGTTGTAAATTGAATTAATATATTGATAATTCGGTTTCATATAAGAACATCTGGTTCCTTATACGGCTACTTTGGTACCATATATTGAAGAACTGGTATTATGTACTGTCATAATCAACTCATATATTTCTACTTTGGTTCCATACATTGATAAACTGGTTTCATAAATTGTCAATATTAATTAATATATTGATAATTCGGTTTCATATCAGGACATCTTGTTCCATATATGGCTACAATGGTACAAAAAATTGAACAATTTGTATCAAATAATGTGATAATCAACTTATGTATTGCTACTTTGGTTCCATATATTGTAAAATGAATTAATATGTAGATAATTCGGTTTCATATAAGGGCATTTGGTTCCATATATTGCTATTTGGTACCATATATTTCTATTTTGGTTTATTGTGTTTATATATTGTAAAATGAATTAATATATTGATAAATCGGATTCATATAAGGATATCTGATTCCATACATGATTTCATAAAGTGTAACTGTGGATCAATATAATGGATTTCGGTTAAATAAGGTGTTTTCAATTCATATATAGTCAAAGTGAACTTATATATTTATTCAAATGGTTAAATAAATTGAAAAAGAACAATGTAAGACAGTCATGGCTTTCCATATGCTGAGCTCTTCTGTAAGAATGCATTGCATGGCATAATAAGAGATAGATATTTGTCACCGTAACGCGCCTGTCAACGTCCAGCAGTTTTTATATTATTATAGATGTTGTAATATGATTTTTTTTTCAAAACGGCTTATATTAGGTTCTTTTTGATATATATGATCAGTACATGTGCTGGGATTGACAAATATGCATTATATTTGGATTTTAAAAGCGTTTTGAGCTCCAAACCCCAAGTGTCTGTGGAACACAATAGTATGAATACATTTTGGACTAACATACGCAAAAAAACTAAACATGTAAACAAATAGTATTTAAATGCTGGAAGCTGTTGATAAGTTTTTTTCCAATATATGTAGTAAAAGTCCTCCTAAAATAAATGAATTCATCGGTACAAAAGCAAACAATATATTATTTATATATTTATAATTATGGTTGTAGAAACCGAAAGAACAAAAAAAAAAAACAAAAAAAAAAAAACAAGAGGGCCATGATGGCCCTGGGGTCGCTCACCTGTACATAGGCCCCCAGGGCGGGGCCAGTTTAAACCAAAGGGCTTTTATTTGAACAAACTTGGAAGACACCCATTAGAAGATGTTTCATGATGTTAAGTTTTTACTATACACAAATAATGAAAAATAATGACTATTGAACCCCCCCCTCCCCCCTCCCCCTAGCAGGGCCAATTTTAACCCAAGTGCTTTTATTTGAACAAACTTGGTAGACACCCATTAGAACATGTATCATGCTTAATATCTTAGCTCTAGCTCTTTGGGTTCTTTAAAAGAAGATTTTTAAGTTTTTAATTACTATATGCAATATAGGGAAAATCAATGACCCCCTAGGGAGGGGCCAATTTTGACCCAAGGTCTTTTATTTGAACAAACTTGGTAAACATCCATTAGAACATGTTTCATGCAAAATATCTTAGCTCTGGCTCTTTGGGTTCTTTAATAGAAGATTTTTAAGTTTTTACTCTATGTATGTAGGGAAAATCAATGACCCCTGGGGCGGGGCCAATTTTGACCCCAGGGCTTTTATTTGAACAAATTTGGTAGACACCCATTAGAAGATGTGTCATCTAAATATCTTAGCTCTAGCTCTTTGGGTTCTTTAAAAGAAAAGATTTTTAAGGTTTCACTACTTGTATTTAGGGAATATCAATCACCTCTGGGGCTGGGACAATTTTGACCCCAGGGCTTTATTTGAACAAACTTGGTAGACACTCATTAGAAGATGTTTCATGCTAAATATCTTAGCTCTAGCTCTTTGGGTTCTTTAAAAGAAAAGATTTTTAAGGTTTCACTACTTGTATTTAGGGAATATCAATCACCTCTGGGACTGGGACAATTTTGACCCCAGGGCTTTATTTGAACAAACTTGGTAGACACTCATTAGAAGATGTTTCATGCTAAATATCTTAGCTCTCGCTCTTTGGGTTCTTTAAAAGAAGATTTTTTACTATATGCATACAGGGAAAATCAAAGACCCCCTGGGGCGGGGCAAATTTTGACCCCAGGGCTTTTATTTGAACAAACTTGGTAGACACTCATTAGAAGATGTTTCATGCTTAATATCTTAGCTCTAGCTCTTTGGGTTCTTTAAAATATTTTTTTTAAAGTTTTTACTATATGCATATAGGGAAAATCAATGACCCCATGGGGCAGGGCCAATTTTGACCCCAGGGCTTTTATTTCAACAAACTTGGTAGACACTGATTAAAAGATGTTTCATGCTTAATATCTTAGCTCTAGCTCTTTGGGTTCTTTAAAAGAATTTTTTTTAAGTTTTTACTATATGCATATAGGGAAAATCAATGACCCCCTGGGACGGGGCCAATTTTGACCCCAGGGCTTTTATTTGAACAAACTTGGTAGACATCCATTAGAACATGTTTCATGCCAAATATCTAAGCTCTAGCTCTTTTGGATTTTTAGAAGAAGATTTGTTTAAGTTTTTACTATATGCATATAGGGAAAATCAATGACCCCCTGGGGCGGGACTAATTTTGAGCCCATTGCTTTTATTTGAACAATCTTGGTAGACACTCATTAGAAGATGTTTCATGCTTAATATCTTAGGTCTAGCTCTTTGGGTTCTTTAAAAGAATTTTTTTAAAGTTTTTACTTTATGCATATAGGGAAAATCAATGACCCCCTGGGGCGGGGTCAAATTTGACCCCAGGGCTTTTATTTGAACAAACTTGGTAGACATCTATTATAACATGTTTCATGCTAAATATCTAAGCTCTAGCTCTTTGGGTTTTTTAGAAGAAGATAATTTTAAGTTTTTACTATATGCATATATGGAAAATCAATGACCCCCTGGGGCGGGACTAATTTTGACCCCAGGGCTTTTATTTGGACAATCTTGGTAGACACTCATTAGAAGATGTTTCATGCTTAATATCTTAGGTCTAGCTCTTTGGGTTCTTTAAAAGAAGATTTTTTTAAAGTTTTTACTATATGCATATAGGGAAAATCAATGACCCCCTGGGGCGGGGCCAATTTTGACCCCAGGGATTTTATTTGTACAATCTTGGTAGACACTCACTAGAAGATGTTTCATGCCAAATATCTAAGCGCTAGCTCTTTGGGTTTTTTTGAAGAAGATGTTTAAAGTTTTTACTTTTGGTTGCCATGGCAACCAGAGTTCTGCATGGAATGGAATTCTTTGAACAACTTTGTTAAGGCTTCACACAAGGAACATCCCTGTGAAGTTTCATTATGATCTGCCTTATGGTTTCAGAGGAGATGTCGTTTGAAAAGTGTGAACGGACGACAGACGACGGACGAAGAGTGATCCTAACAGCTCACCCTGAGCATATGCTCAGGTGAGCTAAAAAAACAACCTGTTGACATTTATTCGGATTTGTTTAAAATTGTACATCAGTGGGCATATTTAAATTACAAATTGTTGTCAGACATATTATCATAAAGAGTAACGAAACATACATTACTTTTCTTTTGGATGTTAAATACAAAATATATTCATTCGTTTTACATTATCCCTGTTTCTGTTTACATCTGAAACCACGTGGTAGAACTACTTTCAATTGTCTTTGAGGTTATTTTAGATAATCCTATTGATAGAGGTTAACTCTGCTGCGAAACAACCGTTCAACACATCGTCTTTAAATTTACAGGTAATGAAAACGTCATACTAACTTTACACGCAGTGACATTTATACTATATCATGTTTACTTTAAAATACAGCGTGCTTCAAGTCACTGGACAGTGGCTGCTAAGAACACGGTTTATTTGTAGTAAATATTTGATATATATTCGAAAATATGGAAAATGTAATTGCAAACTTTTTGTAATTGAATAAAGTAATTTGGTTTTAGAGGGTAATTCCGCGAATTTATCAATCTGCCCTCGTATTATTTAGAAATTTACCGTGAATTATTAAAGGGAGGTTAATGCTCGAATATGTTATGTAAAGTAAAATTTGTTATCCCCCTTCTTATGTTAAATGACCGCTAGTTTTCCTTGAAATGCTATTTTTGTTGCTACTTATTAAGCACATCTTAATTCCCCAAATATAAAACAAAATTAATAGAAGTCAACATTTATAATGTTAGTTAAAAGTAATTAAAATATTGAACATTATCAATATACGTGTAAAATCAAAATGTTTGTAAAGATGTTTTCTGTTTTATTTATGAAATACATGTATGTGATATGTATTATACTATAGCACGGATTGGAGTTAAGATGCTCAGTATAATCACAAAGGCCGTACACGTAGGCCTGAGTGATCAATAACAAACATCTGAACGACATACCGTGCTATATATTCGACAGAGAGCACTCAAACTCAAGATGTTCCATTGAACAAAATATATTTGGACTATATTTTGGTGGTTTCAGAGTTTCTGATAACAACGTTCTTTAAAAAGGTTCTCCAATTTGCTGAAAAAGCTGTGTTAAATCTACCGTTTGCACAAACATTTTGAGAATAACAAATATGGAAAAAGTTTTTTTTTTGTGTGTTTATTTTATTTCTTTATATATATTTATAAGCAAAATACAGAGTATATATTGCAAAGTTAAAGTGATATTCAACTATTTTGCAAAATTGAATATATATTGGCTAGAATAAGTATGGTACTCAACAATGAATAACGAACTCTTTAATTTTACATTAAAAGACATTAAATAAAAGACGGTACCTAAGATCAGCCACTCTAGTGTCTTAGTATAGCAAGAATGTATATTACCAATACAATCACTTCGAGTGCAGTATTACTTTGATATGGGCATTTTGGACTCGGAAATGAAAAAGAAATTCGTAATAGTAATATCACATGGAAAACATGAAGTCATGTGATAAATAGTTTGACAATGTTATATCACTTACTTTGTGTAGAATCAATATACTGTTCTTCTTTCTCGGCTTTACTTAGTGTTTTCAGTTCTTTTTGTAACGTCTCTCCTAATTCCGCCAGGCCTGTTCGTTCTTTATCTCCGTGTTTATGAATTGTATCAACTTCTTTGTCCCTTTCGTCATTTAATCTTTTCACAGAAACATCAGTTTTATCTTGTATCTGTGTCATTCCCTCGGCAGTTTTAGACTCAAGAGATAGATATTGTTCTTCTTTCTCGGCTTTATTTGTTGTTTTCAGTTCTTTTTGTAACGTCTCTCCTAATTCAGCCAGGCCTGTTCGTTCTTTATTTCCTTGTTTATGAATTGTATCAATTTCTTTGCCCCTTTCGTCATTTAATCTTTTCACAGAAGCATCCGTTATACCTTGTATCTGTAAAATTCCCTCGGCAGTTTTAGACTCAAGAGATAGAAGATCTTCTTTTTTTCTTTTGATCATATCTTGTTTAATTATGTCATGTTGATCATCTAATCCAGCCTTTATCTTGTCTTGAATTACTGTTGACACATCGTCTAGTACTTTTCTAATATCATCTTTACCAATGACAAGAGTGTCATTTTCTAACTGTAATTATAAAGACCATAACATATATAATATCAATCAATAAACTAGTACATCAGAATTTATTAACTGTTATTCATAAAATGTACATTTCAGTGATATATTGTATCTACAGTATTATTTTGTAACAAATGCATGTGTAATGTTAGTCATCACTGGGCTGATCAAAAATGATGATACATGAAGATGATACATGAAGTTTAAGAAGGTTATGAAAATAAGTATAATTTTTTTCAGCAAAGAACAATTATTGCCGTGTGTTTAATGCAATGCTCTGACTTTATTTTGCATCTAGCGGGGGCATTTTGAAAAATCTACTAGGTTATCAGATTTCATTCATGAAATAAATGCTTTTTATATTTCCTTACAAGCCATTGCGAAACTTTCAACTTTCAACATTTAAGAACAGCAAACTATTTTGTTCCGGAACATTTTATTATGTTTACGCAAAATATTCTTGTTCACTAAATAACAGTTTTACATTCTATGTTACAACAATTTTGAAAACAACATGATTTGTTCAAAAATTCAATGCAGATTATATAATTAGATTTTAACACTTTTTTGAAATACACTGTGTTCTAGTCATACGACGAAATATGTAACGTATTCAAATGTAAAAACCGTTAAATCACCTGTATAAGTTTCAGTTTAACATTCTGCGCATGGGTGTCTGTAGCTAAATACACACGGTCAGAAAGTAATTGCTGTAATATTTGAAAGTAATACTGAAGATCTGAATCTTCTACTTCAAAGTTTGATGAATGTCGCAACATTTTTCCAATTTCTCTAGCCTGGTCAAAAAAGAATAACAGTTTTAGTTGATTTTTATCTATAACATTTAAAATAGAAAAAAAAGCTATGTCAAATAAAATGTTTATATGGAAAACATAACAAATCATAAATAACCGTTAGTACTGCATTTGTCAAACAGAACATATATCCTAATAAATACCGCACAATTACATATTTATTGTACATTTCATGCATAACATGTTAATTTTAACTTGAATGTTTATTTTCTTTTCTTAAATTATGGTACATTTTTCTTGAGTTTGATTTTCTAGATTTTTCAGGCTCATCTAAAACTGTGTATTAAATAGCTGCCGGTTTCTTTTTGCCGCGCCAGTTTTTGGCAAATTCAACCCCTATTTTTACGCGCTTTAAAAAAATGAAAACTATCTTAAATTGTCATATTTACTACAAGGTTTAAAAATTAATATGTTTTGTTTTTCTATCTTTAATACTTTTTTGTAAAAATGCATTTAAAGTTTGCATTTGCCATGGCAAAGTGTGTTTTGCCATGGCATTTCGGCATTTTGCCATGGCAAATAATTTGCCATGGCAAATTAGAATTGCCATGGCAAGGTTTTTCCTACTTTTGCCATGGCAAATTTGCCATGGCAATTATTTTTTTAAAACATCACAAAACTTTCTAAAACTTATCCTATGACATGTTATTGGTCGTATTGTTATGTTTTTATTGTAATCTCTATTTTTTTTCATTTTGCCATGGCAAATTTTTGCCATAGAAATGCCATGGCAAATTTCTGCCATGGCAAATTTGCCATGGCAATTCCATGGCAAAAATTTGCCATGGCATGTCCATGGCAAAAATTTGCCATGGCAATTGCATAAAAGTTTGCCATGGCAAAATATTATCAATAAAAAAAAAAACATTTTTTCTTTGAATTTTTTTTTATAAATTTATACATGGCAAATGACATATTAAGGAATATAATGTTTAAAATTTTAAAGTTAACGCAAAGAATATCTTTTCAACCACGGGTCCTATTAATTAGAATAGATTGTATATGACATTTTAAAATGACAATAATTATGAGATCAAGGATCAAATATAATCATTTATGCTAAATAATAATAATAAAGCTTGAGTGGTAGTTATATAACAGAGAAAATAAGAATCCCTAAAGAAAGCCCAACACTGCAAATTTGAAAATTTGAGCCTGTTCATGGACGGTACTGGTAGTCCAGTGGTAGGACGCGCGCTTAGGGATTGAGAGGTCCTGAGTTCGAACCCCACCAATGGCACTGCTAATTTCCTTGAGCAAGAAATTTACCGGCGATTGCTTCACTTCACCCAGGTGTAAATGGGTACCTGCGATGGTGGTATAATTCCGTTGCGCCAAAGTGTCGGCTGCACTAAGCGGAGTTAAAAGACTCCCTATGGATATAAATAGATAGATATCAGTAGCCCGATGACCAGGGGCAATACTAGTAGCTGTAAAGTCGGTGAACGTGCGTAAGCATGAAACTTAGACTTGTATGCAATTACTTTACTTTTAGTGGTAAGTGCAAATTACCGTCAACGTCCCCTAGCACCGGCTTAAGCAGTATATAACATTTTAACATAAACTGGTAAATTTAGAATATTGAAACATCCGCATATATGTTCATATGGTGGTAATCATGGAACCTTTAATGTGACACGTTAGTACCATTCCATGAAAAGCGGCATATTACAATATGCTTATAATAACATAAATAACAGACTTTACTTGTTAACTATATATAACTTTTAAACACCACAATTTTGTATAAATATGTGCAATTACATTTTTTGTTTCCGGTTTCTTCTAGTATCATGCAGTCTGTGTGATAAAGGACTGCTAAGGAAAGACAAGGAAATGATGGGAGATGCATTGGTACAAATGTTATGGAGGGCACCCTTATAACCTTGTTATTTGTAAAATATTGCGTTAACGCAACAAGATCATCTCGAGCAAGCAGGACGTTTCGCCCCTAACCAAATCGGCCCTTAACAACTGCTAGTCCCAAAAATGCGTAAATTCTTGGTATAATGAGTAATGAGTGTATTAATTTCACACTGGCCATAGCTTTCGCAGAAGCGGTGGGTCTACCGGTGCGGCGATGGAGATTTCGTCGCAGAAGCGGTGGAAAAACATGGCTGTCGGATAGTTTTATGCTGGTGTCGGTAAGTTTATGACTTATTTGTACGTTATGTTTTTATGTTCTACTGATAACACCTAGTGAGACTGGAGCCCACATATGTACTCTTCCAACTAATTACACGCATGGGGTGCAAATCATGACCAGTTATGCAAACACTTCTGTACAGTTTGACGGGGGGACACCACATTTGCCTAATTTTGTTTATAACACTACATATGTACTTAAAACTACCCCTAGATACACTGGCATCGCATCGTATGTATGATAATTACACAAAACAACCATATTTTGGAACTTTTGGAAATTGATATTACCATTTTAATAAAAGAATTGACAAAAAATGATTACAACGCAGACGGCGGTGGATTCGATTGCAACGCAGTGCGGTGGGCCCGATATCATTTAGGTCTTTTTTTAACGTTAAAGTCACCGACACTTAGGAGTTGAGCACCAAACACCTAAAAATACAAATGAAATATATATTTGTTAATCCTAACACATATAGTTGTTATATATATCAATGAAAGTAAATATAAGCTTTTTTTGAAAACAAAATTTCTCTCAGATATGCTGTATATAAATGCCATTTGAACCAGCCTTGCTATAATCGGAGTCATTCGGGATCATGCGGGTTCTCACATCCATAGCGCACCTCATTTAAATACGACAGAGCTGAGTGCCACGCTTGAATTTGTTGAAATATTTTGTAAATAAATAAACCGGCGATAGTTAAATTTTTTTCACATAGTGTGTTTGTATAAGATGAAGCGTTTATATTGTTGAAAAAGAAAAATATGATGAAAATATATAATAAGTACCAGTAATATATGTTTAATAGATGACTCTTGTCACCTGTTGACAACAGGATAATGCGAAAATATTGGAAATAGAATCAATTGCAAGGTGATTTGAAGGATGTGCGATTTTTTTCTTACACATTTTTTTTATCTTGTGTATATTTTTGACGTATGAATATTTACTTTTTCTTCAAAACGGCATATATGTAAGTTTTATTGAAATATATGATAAGTATATGGGCTGGAATTAATAAGAATACAATTATCAGGATTTTAAAGCAGCATGCCTCAATATTCATGTTTATTTTCAAGAAAAGTTTGGAAATGTATTTATGTTTTACTTTTACCATGGTACGTGTTCCTCCTTGTTAATTTGTGTCATCCTCAGTAGAGTTAAAATACAAACATAGGAATTTGATTGTTAATGTCTGGCAGAGCCAGATATCTTTATTGTCTAAGAATAGATTATGATATAATCAAAAGATTAATCAGAAACTTCAAATACGCTTTCATATAGAAAACAATTGTAGCAAACGTTATAACAATAGATGACACAAAGTTGGAAAACAAAAAACCACCAAACTGTCCAACCAAAGGAGGAACGATAGACCGTGAAAGCAACGAAAACGAAAGAGCGGCAATTTAAATTCTGACTTAACAATTTACAAACAAAAATATACGATAATTTGAACGCGTGCATGTGCAATTGGCTTATAGGCCAATAAACAACATTTTGGTCTACCTTTTTTGTCAGGTATTTTGTAATATTTAATTTCAAATTGCATTCTATACTTTTAATTATTTAATTAAAATAATTATGACTCTTGTGTGTTAAACTACAAAAACATTTTAATTTGTTAAATTGATAGATTAAATTCAATATACGAGTTAATGCTATATAATTAACATTTCAGCGATACATAGTTAACATACACTTCAATATGTTGAACTAGTGTCCAAACTGGGATTTAATTTATCAAGACATTTTATAAGTTAAATGAATGCATAGTTTATAAAGAAAATACAAACTTTAAGTATTTTTTAATTCAATTTATAAGTTAAAATTACCATTTAAGCACTTCATAGTTAACATACACCCTAATATGTTAAACTAGAATCTAAAACATGGATTGTTTATAAAAACATATTGATAAGGTGCATGATGCATAGATTGAAAATAGAAAAAAAAATACAAGATAATTTTATAATTAATGTATACATTATAATTAATTTTTAAACAACCCATACATAGAGGATATTGAATAAGTGTAAGTTCAATACTGAATTTATTGCACGAGTTGAATAAAATTATATGATGCGAGCCTCTGGCGAGTGCAATAAATTCAGTTATGAACTTACACTTATTCAATATCCTCTATTTATCACATACCCAAAATAGATACCGTTAAAAGTGAAATAAGAGTCATTTTTCATTGACGCGCCTATAGTACAACGCTAACATTTAGCGCGTCTTACACTATGTTAGCATAACGCTAATGATGTCACGTCAAAATATATGCACGGCCGTGCCATACCATATTTACGGAGTCGCAAAATCGGCACGGGTATTCATTTGTATTTTTTGGTGTTTGGAGCTCAACTCCTATAAGTGTCAGTGACTTTAACGTTAAAAAAAAGACCTAAATGATATCGGGCCCACCGCACTGCGTTGCAATCGAATCCACCGCCGTCTGCGTTGTAATCATTTTTTGTCAATTCTTTTATTAAAATGGTAATATCAATTTCCAAAAGTTCCAAAATATGGTTGTTTTGTTTAATCATCATACATACGATGCGATGCCAGTGTATCTAGGGGTAGTTTTGAGTACGTATGTAGTGTTATAAACAAAATTAGGCAAAATTGGGATCCCCTCGTCAAACTGTACAGAAGTGTTTGCATAACTGGTCATGATTTGCACCCCATGCGTGTAATAAGTTGGAAGAGTACATATGTGGGCTCCAGTCTCACTAGGTGTTATCAGTAGAACATAAAAACATAACGTACAAATAAGTCATAAACTTACCGACACCAGCAAAAAACTATCCGACAGCC